GTTTCCTTCTTAAATTCAGCAAGACGCAAAGTAAGCGCTCGCACTAGAGCATGATCTGAATCTAAACATTTGCTCCGGAAGGAGCGGCAGTCTTCAACAGAGTCTCTCCATCGATGGCTAATAGCGATGTGATCTAGTTGGGTCCAGCGTTGAGACGAATTTGGGGGGTCACCATGTCAAGAGATGCTTTTCCTTATGCCTAAAGTTAGTGTCTGCCAGAAATAGGCGATTAACTGAGCATAGCTGCAGCAGACAGTCGCCATTATCTGTTCGATCAGCCGCGACACCATAAGATCCACCCATGTCTCTTTCCTTTTCACTTAGTCCACCTACTTAAGCACTAAATTCACCAGCCACTATTAATATATCAGTGTCTAATATTTTGGAGGAGTTCCAAAAGCTTTCTGTAGAAATCATCTCTTACCTCATCTGAACTGCAGTCAGTGGGTGCGTAGGCAGATACGACGAAGAGGCAATGGCGATTCTTCCTATCCTTCTGAGTCCTTACTGTCCCGTTTAGTCGGATAGCGCACAACTGACTATCTACTGGGATCCTGTCTAAGAGAGCCAGTTCTGCTCTAGGATTCAATGCTACACATACACCGGCGAGGCCTCGCGAAGTGGCATCAGGACTTCCAGATACACAGAGCGTAGACCAAGTTGGCTTTTTATTAGGACAAGGTAAGGTTATTTCGACCACTGTACTCAGATCCTGTATGCGGATTTCGGAGACATAGCACACATCCCGAGCACGAGATTCTAGAGTCCTAGCTAAGGAAGCTTGTTGTCCTATTTATCAAACGTCCGGACATTGAAATCCCCAATATATAACTCACAACGAGGTTTCAGTGGACCAGGAATAACGTCCCGTGTACTCGAATTAGCGGTGAGGGGCGGTAAGCGAAATTGAGAAGGGTTAGATGTGGAGATAAAATATTAGGTGAGGGAAGGATTTGATTGTGAGCGATTCGGCTTTGTGTGTCGTTACGGGTATGAGGGGAGATAGCGATCCTTGGCTGCCCACAATGCGGAAGGGCTTTTCGTAAGGAACCTGAAAAAGTAGGTCAGACTAATGTTGGTCTTAAAGGCCTGGGAGCGTGACCGCAGAGCCCAAGGGACGACTGCTCAAGACTGGTCACGCACGATCTTTTGTAGGAGGTTTCTAAGGTGTTGGCTCCGCTCTTCAAGTGGCCTTTCTGTCAGAGACGAAAACCCGTAGAGTAAGGTGAAGTGTGACATTTTTAGGATCAACCTTTTCTAAACCCTTTCTTTCTTGTGAAAAGACAGAATAGCTGCAGATGCTGCTTACCGTTCTCCAATCGATCTGCCTGGTATGGTAGAATCTAAGGGAATATATATTCCAGACAATAAAGCTCGGTCGGATCATCAAGATAAGCAAGCCCCGCCACCATGTCAAGGTGGCACCTTCGGTCGGGTGCAGAATATATGTTTCAGGCAGTTCTTCAGGTGGAACTCAACAACTTTAAACGTCGTAAGACAATTTGGTTTTGATGGCAGGTAATTCCTCGACCAGTTCGATATCAAAACATCGGAAATGTCAATCCTAATAAGCCTTGTCAATTTAAATACGATTCTGCATACGTGATTCTGACCAAATTGTCAGTTTTTGTTGCCACGTGTCTTCGTGTCAAATCATTACTGTTGCATATAAATAAACGACAACTTATCGGTTGCAAGTAGTTAGGAAAATTGGGTTTAGGTTCAAGTATGATCAAGAAAACTGATTATCTGGAGATAATCAATGATATAATTTATTGAAACTATAAAATGTTCTTACTAATTTGGTATACATTAATTTACTAGAAACTAATGTGAAATTATGCTAACACCGGAAACGCAAAAAAAGTTTCAGTATAATAAGTATGGTAAATAATTGACGAACGAAAAACTAGCAGAGGATTGAAACTATGAGAAAACGAGACCGAACGAACTGTATTTTCCACAAAGTGTGGACTTGGACTTTCGTTTTACTGTAACTTCAAAGTAACTCAAGACGACTCATCAACAGCAACGTAGAACTATGCACGTTAGGACAGCAATCAAGTTGACATACCACATTAGCACAGAGATATAATTGTCAATTCAAATCCCACAGTAGTAAAAGTATTAGAAGTAATAGGAGATTAGGGTCCGAAGATGTTATTCAAGAAGTATAATTCAGTGAGATAGGTTTAGAAAGACAAAAAGAGATGTGTTGACGGATCCACAAGATTAGGATTTGAGAGAACACGAAGAATGAATGCACCTGCGCCACTCCAAACGATTTGAACCATGTCATTTATGGTCTCTAACCATCGTTTACCATCATCTCGCGGACCTCAACAAGGTAGTCTACATTTACCAACATGACTCAGTCCACTTGTCAGTGACTTCATGGATTTGTGCCATGTTTTGGTCTGGCTGCCACTAGCTTTCTTCCATCCTATTCCTACATCATAAAACATCGCTCGTCGAGGCAGTCGGTGGTTTGGCATTCGTAACACATATCCCAACCACCTCAACTGATGAAGTTTCACCACTTCATCGATTGATCTGCCATCCTTACCTAGTACTCGTTTCCTAACGACAGCATTGCTTACTCGGTGATCCCACGATACACGAGCAATGCTTCGGAGACATCTATGATCGAATACTAGTAACCTACGAATATCTTCTACACTTACCAGCCATGTTTCGGATCCATATAGGAGAACAGAGCGAACTGCCGCACAGTACACCCGTCCTTTGGTTAGCGAACGGATATCTCGCCTACACCATAAATGACGTATATTGGCAAAAGCCAATCGAGCTTTCTGTATCCGCGCTGAGATTTCGTTAGTCACCAGGCCATCAGCACTAATAAGACTCCCGAGATAAGTAAAGCGGTCGACACGCCCAACTACTTCACTCCCTATCACTAGTCCAGGTGCCGATGCAGCTCAATCTTGGAGCGACATTTTGCATTTCGAGGGGGAAAACCGCATCCCGAACATGCTTGCATTGTTGCTTATGGTAGTCAGAGGACTCTACATTTTGTCAGCCTCTTCACCGAATAGAACTATGTCATCGGCATATTCTAGGTCAGTAAGCGATTTTCCTGGTAGGTCAACCCCTGAAAAATCTGACGAGGTAATGTTAACTCTAAGAGGATGTCTAGGACAAAGTTAAACAAGAATGAATTAAGACGACTATTGTCAGACGCCTAAACGTGTGTCTGTGTTCCGGGACCTGTCGTAGTGTGAAGATGAGGTCCATACAGCCAGGTCCGGGTCTGAAACCAGCCTGGTTTTCTCGAGTCTGCTCTTCACCAGCTCTAATTTGGCGTCTAAGGATTATCGAGGCTAACAATTTAGAAACTATAGAGAGACCTGTCACAAGAAGACTTTTGTCCTTTCTTATAAATTGGGACAATCAGGGATTGAGACCACTCGGATGGGATTACGTTATCCGAAGTCACAGATTACAACTACCACGCGGTTTATGATTACGAAATCAGACTTTAACTAACATACTATTAAAATAAGAACATTTTGGATGAGATCGGGTAAGTTTGATTAGTGGCAACAGAACCAGATTAAGAACGCTAACAGAGTTAATCAATATACGTTTTCAACGTGCATTGAGACATGTATCACACAGTTAGCTACAACTTAGTACTTCCTCAGTAGGTATATCAGTTTAGGTAGACATAGCGCAGCTGTGGTCGACAATTCAAAAACTATGGCAAATGATGTAGTTGGAGTATTGGCGGTGGTGAAGACAAGATTGAGATGTGTCGATATGATCACACCCGACATTAGTCTGCGAGAAACCAAGGAAACCCTTTATATTCGTTTCGACACCTCATTACTCAGATGGTGGGGAAAACTTGCAGCTCAGGTGGATGATTGTGGTGTTTCGTTCTCTGAGCTGGTTGTTTTGGTTGTGGAGCTTTCATTGTTCTTCTGAACAACATGGTCAGCACAGACTTGAGATAGAAGCGAAGCATTCGAATTTCTCCACGTTTGACCTGTAGCTTGTTCTGCTAACCTCGGTCTTGATTGGTTGTTGTTAACCTTAAACCTGTGGTTGTTTGCACATTTGTTTTGATTGTATCCCCTTTTTGATCTGTTTCTTGAAAGCTCCACAACCAAAACAACCAGTTCAGAGAACGAAACACCACCACCTCATTAATCACCCCTCTATCAGGACTGAAGGAATTTATAGGAGGAAGTGGTCACCTAGAGAAATCAAGCTATAGAGAAATACCTAAACTTGATGACAAGATAAACATTCACGCGTTCCTCACCCATAACCAAGGAAAACAGAGTTTATAAGGGACCCAACAATAGCTATTTCAAGATCCATGCACCAAACGCTCACAATACCTCAATAGTTTTCGACATGTAACATTAGGAGGATGTGGTAGAACATTAAGGCAACTAGAATCAGTTTGACAGGGTTCAGTCCAATAGTTGCATAAGTTCGTTTAGAAGCTAACGCATTTGAGACAAGGACAATTGCAGTGACAATAAGTCTCGTAACCTGGTGATCCATCACCGCATAGCTGAGTGACGTATTTACAAGCGGATTTAAACATGTTGAAATTATCTAGAAATGACTATAACTTAGGATCATGATAAACTTTACATAGCGTGAAACCGACTTTAAGCCCAACTGAAATGAACTTTAGACTACAAATAAAAAGTTGCAACACACTAAACCTATTATGACGTAACCCCTCCCTAATCTTAGCATCATAAGTTAGATCCAAATAAACGGCTGTATATGACAATCAGGTTGCTTTCAGCTGTTTGAATCGCGCTTCAAACCAATAAAATATACATAACCAAGCAATCTGCACAATACAGTAGAGCACGGATTCCATCGTTCTAACTGGTTAAGGACTAATGCTTGTTGCAGTACTAAGACCAATCTGGTGTTAAACTAAAACCCAACAGTAACGGTTGATAGGAGTACAAGCTAAATTGCAATCCTGATGGATGCACGATTAACTCAGTGATAGGAAAACTCTATATTTAGCATATAACTGAATCAACGTAACATACAAAAAGACAATAACCACAAAGAAAAAGTATTATGCATGTGTCCAGCAATAAATTACGCTAAATGAAAGTGAAATACGCACTCAAATATCATAATACATTTCACACGAACAGTATACTGATTTGCAGTGTCACTTACATAAAGATAAAAATCAAAACGTACTAACCATGTCCAAAACACGTGAAAAGTCGGTTTTGGTTGGTCGTACATGATTTGGAATGAACTGGCCGGTTAAGTATAAGGATAAATGAATATTATCACTGAGTGTGTCTCAGTGAATCATTGGATAAATTTCACAGACGACATAAAATTAAGGTTATATTGATAAGTAGACCAAAGGATAGATGGTTTGGACATGTTTGATCAGTAAGACAGCAGGGTATGGTAGTACAAGTGAAGAAATTTACTTAGTAGACAAAATAAGGGCGACAATTAATCCGTAAAGACCAAGGACCTCAGCGAAAATTAGGATTAGCACCATCCCAACAAACAGCCTGGACTGTTGAGCCGTGCCTCGTACACCAGCATCCCCGACGATACCAATTGCAAAACCTGCACCAAGACCACTAAGTCCAACACTGAGGCCAGCGCCTAGCTGATTAAGAGACCTAGGTTCTGATAAGGAGGTAACTAAATAGACTTACACATCAAGTTTCTTTAAGTCCTGACCACGCTGAACTATGAGAACTGCTACAACAAGGCCGTAAATTGCTATAATACCAGCCATAACAACCGGGATGATTGACTTTATGATCAGCTCAGGTCTCATCACTCCCATTGAGCAGATGCCCGCGCCGGACTTGGCAGTCCCATAAGCAGCGCCCAAGCCTGGTATAAAGTGATAGAATTTAAGACTTACAACAAAATACTACGGCAGAAACAGCGCCGATCACACCGAAAAAGGGAGCATAAATTGGGTCAGCCGAATCCATCACACAGTAACCAAAGTTGAGAACGCCTACAAAAATGGAAACTGCGTAGCAAAACAAATTCAATATCCAACATCCTTCTCATTAGCCAGCATAAACCAATTGATATAAGTAAGGGAGCGGAAACAGAGATAATAAGTGACATACATTGAGTCAGTGATCTGAGAAGATGGCAGCAACGATAACTAGCAGGTTCCAAGTCATACATCAGGCACAGCGAGTCCATGAGCGAGATGATAATCCGTATGTGACTACGTGTTCAGCAACTCTCTTCTCAAACCTATCCCCTGAGTAAGCTTTGCCACCTTGCTTAGGAAATCATTGCAAGTTGTGACAACTCTTGATAAAAATGTGTATGAGAACTTGATTTTTGGATCTTTGATGTGCTATTTTTTAGGGTTAACTGAAGGGGCTTCATGATGTGTTGACAAGATGATAATGTTTGGATGATTTGGCCTACTTAATGTGTTGTATACTATTATCAGATAACTGTTGATTTTTGTATAACTCAGCGGGAATAATCTCACGTGTAGGAGTCTATCTTCAAAAGGTTTGTTCGTTAATCCTATCACACATCCCTTTGCTTGTCTCTGCACTACGACCAAGAGATGCGAAGACGTTGTGAACATCAAGGTGTGGGTGCGCATATGTCCTAAGCAACGTTAAGAATAATTCCGCGGTGATAGCACCAAGTTATCTTCGCATAAAGCGACGATTTGTATTAGCATTTTCTTCGTCCCTTATATAGTCCAAACTGGTAAGGAGGTTTTCAGTAGTCAATGACATGAGATCACGCTCTAAGAAGACAATAGGGAGAGGACTTCCGATGAGGATGTAAGTCATTTGCTTCGTATTGGGCAGGATGTGCATAACGTGACATTTTGTCAGGTTTGGTTTTAAACCGTTTTCACTGCCCATTCATCAATGTATGTCCTTTTGAAGCTCAGTCGAATCCTCTCCGCTTCAATGAACCACCAGACCTTTGCATAGATCAATGCCGCCTAGCTAATTTTGCCCAACATATCTTTATTGAATACGAAGAAGAGACATGGACCAAAGATGGTCCTCTGTGAAACTCATGATACTCAAACCTGCCAACTCAAGTGCACCTTGTTTACTTTGGTGCTAAACTGTCAATTCTCGAGGTAGTTACTGAGACAAGAAAGTAGTGAGTCAGTGAAGCCCATTCCCACAACCTTCGCAGTTATGAATGCGCGGGGTACTGTGTCGAAGGCTTTTGCAAATTCAAAAAAATTTATGTGCACCGGAATTTTTCGGTCCGAGCCGGATGTCCAACTGTCCCCTACTATGAGAAGATTGGACGAGCGCAACCTGCCTTTCCGAAACCCGTGTTGAGTTTCATGGAGGATCTTGTTCTTCTCACGTACTCTATCATCTGTTCGTTCACCAGCCCTTCCATTATCTTTGATAGTATTGGTAGTAATACGAGAACTTTTTTAAATTCTAATGAAGATTTTAGTTATGACTGTTTAAGTTTTCATTAAACATGTTTACCACTTTTATATGTATTATGAAGCTGTTGTCTGATCTAAGTCATTTTAGTTAATGATATTAGCAATCCCGATGACCAGACACCTATTTACATTAAAATCATCATCGATAGAAAGTTTTATTGGCAGAAACCATGAAAAATAAAGTTTTTTGCGACAGGTGATCAGGAAACAGTTAAACCTAATAGCCTGTGACATTGTTGGAATTTTTTGAATAGAAATCAACAGAACTGTACTACCTGAATATTGAAGAATGCGATCCGCTCTGAAATGACTGACATCGTTACTCATCTTTCGCTAGGAGCCAAGAATTTACAGTCTGTAGACCGGTATCTTCGACGCTTTGAAGTAATTTCATCTGGAACGTGCATGACAATTCAATACAAACCAGCTTGAATAAATTAGCTGAAACAATAGCCCATGACCGAACAGACTTCAACTTCACAAGTTTCATCAAAATGTGGGTGTAGCTTCTGCTATAGAAATGTTTAGGTGTAAATTTACAATCTTTATGTGAATACGTTTGTCTCTGAATGTGCTAGGTAGAATGAAAGGATAACAGCTGTAGCCAAAAGAGGGCAATTCTAATGCTCTAAGACTACTGATTGGCTGAAGCCTGCCGTTTGTTTCAGCCGGATATTGTTCAGTTGTAGAACTGCAGCTCTTGCTTTGCCGACCCGCGCACTCACATCTGCATCGGATCCACCTTTCTCGTCGATGATGCTGCCTAGATATGTAAAGATGTTAACGTCCTTAGAGGCATCTCCAACAAGAGTGATTTTGACGGCTCATGTTGTGTTGTATCGCAGAATCTTGCTTTTACCCTCAAGGCACAATGTTGAGACCTGCTGCCGCTGATGCTAATGCTACACTGGTCGTCTTCTCTTGCATTTCTTGTTCCGTCTGAGATAGAGGAGCCATATCATCTGGGAAGTCTCGATCGTCCAGCTGCATCCTGACTGTCCACTGTAACACGCGTAATCAGCAATCACTAGAGGGCAGAAAGGATCGAAAATCACAACACACAGGGTTAGTTCAACGCCTCACACCAAGAGAGAACACGAAGTTGTTGTCACGACACTCTTTTAGTTGAAAATCAAATACGCGGGCCTTTTACAGGAATGGGGTGGGTAGTGTACCGACGTCTTATGAGTCATCCTGTAAGTTTAGAGCACTCAGGGCTTGTTCTTCAGCTTCCAAAGCGTTTGTGTTTGACCGCCCTAAAACAGAAAGAAAACAGAATAAGTTAACAACACCATACATTGTGATTTTGACTCCGTGACACCACTGTATCCGGCGCCTCCCTTCAGATATTGACGTTTTCATCATCCAGTCGACCACCAGGAGAAGGAGAAAGGGTGAGAGTAAGCATCCTTGCCTCACACCAGCTCACACTTGGGACGAGTCTGTGAGCTGTCCTCCATTCATGGTTTCGCAGTTTAATGCATCATAAGAATTCCGTATGATATTGACTATTTTCTCATACACACCGTGATTTCGAAGATGCCTACATCGTGTTGTCCTGTCATGGCTATAAAATGTTTTCTCGTATTCAATGAAGTTGATGTAGAGTGGTGAACCCTATTTAATTGATTGTTGCACAATGATCAGTACTGTCGTGATTTGGACAGTAAATGATTGATCCTTACGGAATCCAGCCTGTTGATCTTGAAGTTGGGCATTTACGAAGTCCTTCATTTTGTTTAACAAGAGGCCTTTGAAGACTTTTCCTGGCATTGAGAGAAGAGTGATGCGTCTGTAGTTCCCACACTTGTTGAGATCGCCTTTCTTTGGTATTTTGACCAGGTTTCCTTCTTCCCAGTCTATTGATACTTGTTCTTCATCGCAAGAAGAAGAGAATGTGAGATATTTTTGCAAGATGCTGCCACGTCTGCTTTAATTGTCTCTGCTGGAATGTTGTCTGGTCCATCTGCTTTGTCGCGCTTGACGAGTCTGATGACAGTGCTGATCACTTCAATTGTTGGTGTGCCAACATCTGTTGGGAGGTCTCTGGATGCTGCTTCGATGTTAGGCGGGTTCAGTAGGAGTGGTAGATTCCAGAGTTCTGCTATGTATTCCACCCACCAGTTTCTCTGTTTTTCAATGTTGGTGATTACTTTACCTTCCTTGACTTCCACTGGTTATTCTGGTTCGCGATAGTTTCCAGAGATCCATTCCTTCTTGTGGTACGTCTTGTGGACAAGGACCTCGTTACTTGTTGAAGCGATTGCCTCCTTGATCCCACCCATCCCAACTGCTGTCCATGGTTGTTTCCTCTCCACTGAGAAGATCGTAAATGGCCTGGAACCTATTGCTGAGGACCATCCTGAATTCGTTGTGTTTGCCGGTATCCCGTGGGAAGGCCGTATCAAACCTTTGTGGTGTAGTCCGCCATGTTGTCAAGTGCTTCTTGAGTTTCAGCTTCATCTTGTGATTACCTAAGGCTACATCATCTCCTATCTTGCATTTGACGTCTTCCACGGTCCTTCTGAAAATTTTATGGATGCAAGTGTGTTCGATTCTGTTCTGTTTGGTGTGATCGGGCAAAATCCACACAGCTTCGTGTATGCTTTTAGGTAGGAATATGGTACCGCCTGTGATCAGCTTGTTGAAGGCACATGGGTTTGCAGATCTCTCACCATTTTCGTTCCTTTCTCTGAGTCCATGTCGTCCCCTGATGTCTTCATATTCAGTGTTGTCAGTTCCAACCTTAGCATTTAGGTCTTCCATCAGAATCATCAAATCCTTTGATGAGCATCTGCTGACTATTGACTGCAATCTTTCGTTACTGTAATCGTTGGTAGGTGCATAGCATTGGATGGCATTCATTGTAATGTCTTCTTTTTTGTTTTGAAGGATGGTTTGATGATCCTGGACCCATGCGATTCCAATTCTATCATTGCCTTTTATGCTTGTTTGGACAGCATCAGTGCAAATCCTTGTGTATATGAGGCGTTTTCTTGCTCATGGCCGAAGTATAGCAGCCGCTCTTCTTTAGCTAGTTTCAGTAGCCCAACTAGATTCACCGATTACAACCACTTCCAGTTTGTATCTTTTCACTTCTGCAGCAACTTGGAATAATCGTCTGGTCTCCAACATTTTTTGAACTTTCCACGTTTTAAATGAGGGATTGATCTGGTTTTCAGAAGGGGTTTATATAAGCTGATAAAAAAGACATTGGATATTGGAAACAGTCATTGCTTTCTACGTCAGTCAGTAAAGCTAATCACGCAGTCAGATCACTAACTGACGGTGGTGCACAGATTCGTCTCAGTATCTGACTAAGTTCTTTTTAGTTTCTTTGTTGTCAGAGTTATAAGTTGCTCTCTGTCGGTCTAGCTATACCGTTTGTCAGCTACATGTATGAAGAAGTACTTGGAGCAAAACGCATGACATGACTCCAACAAATTCCTGTGACTGATTATTCTGTGCATAGCTTTCTACTTGTATCTATTCGCGACACTTTGAAGCCAATTATTCTCCGATCTGATCCAATTAATGATTCGTACAAATTATATATCC